TCCCAGAGACTGCTCTTAAAGTGGGGAAAGGCAAGGAACAGACAGAGAAAAAAGTTCAAAAAGGTGTTAGTAAAGTACCTCTATCTTAGGAAGCTAAAGTTGTTGCTGTGTTTTCAATATATCTGAATGAAAGAGAGAAAGCCCTGCCCACCTAGTCTTCTACTCAGCCCCACCAAGAGTGAAGAAGGGCTTTGAACTGGAGGGGGGCATGGCAGTGGGAAAGGCAGACTTTCCTCACTCCCAGATCACAATTTTCAAGAAGAACCAGACTTTCCTAGAAAGAGGAAGGAACTTAGGAGACCAAGAGATCGTAGAGGTAGATGTTTAGAGATGGGAGAATAGCATCTCCCAGGACTGGGAAGAAGCAGAAGCTGCCAATCCCAGAGAGGGCACAGCCCACGTCCAGTGTCTTTTCAGCACCTCAGTGAAGTACACACCTGGAGAGAGAGGCTGAATCTCGTACCCCAAGGCTGCCACCCTCAGCAAAGTTACCCAAGCTAACCCGTTCAGTAAATCAGGTGGACTTGGTCCATCATCATATTACATGATTAGTGAGAGGTTCAGCTTCCCTCCTCATAATCCCTACCAATGTCAACCTTAACCTTATTCCCAAATAAATACACAATCTAGGTAAAAACAGTATGTTTGCTATGTAAATCCAGCTTTAATTCATGTCTCTTGGTTCCTTCCATCTAGATTGCAGTCCATCCCAAACCCTTTCTAAAGAGAAATCCTGGAGCCTGTAATAGATTATACCAACAGTGATGGACATAGACCAGAGAGCTCTCCACATATATTCTGGGACCTTTGTATGATCTGTGAATCTCTTGTTATACCATCTAGTGAGATGGGGAGACTCAGAGCCAGATGTAGTGATGATGATGGTGATGATGATGATAAATAATGCAACATGACATTTCTTATACTTGAATGGAGTAAAACAATATTCACACATGATACAATACTTGTTCAACTTAAAACCTGTGTTTACATGACAAATATTTATGCCCTGCCTATAAGTATTTTACTTTTATTCTCTATAAATTTTTAGTGAAGTTCTTTTAAACCCATCAAGCTCCTACTTCACTTGTGTCCAAGGAAAGGGGGAGATTTTATACAAGGATGGGCAAAGCCTTGAAAGGACAGCAGGGTAATGATGTGGGTCAAACACAATGGGTAGTGGGGAGGCATCGGGGGAGAGAATTCCAAGGGGAAAGAATTTCCACCTGGAAATTCTCCGTCTAGAGAGCTTCCATGCTATAACTCTATTAGGTTCTGTGCTCCCTTCTCTTAAGAGAAGCCATTGCCTATTAAGACATTAGTAAGCATTATCTTTTTGTATAGATGGGTTTATGGAATAACTTATAAAACTGCTAATACAGGTATAAGACAGAATGGCCTTCTGCATTGGTAATCACTAAAGTAGACTTTGAAAACTAGAAACCTGTGGGCTCTGCCCAAAGACTTTTTTTTTTTTCCTATTTTTTAGAGACAGGGTCTCATGTGTTGTCCAGGCTGGACTTGTACTGGGCTTAAGCAATCCTCCCACCTCAGCCTTCAGAGTGGGAAGACAGTAATGCCACTACATCCAGCTCCAAAGACTTTTTTGATATCCACAAAATGTTTATTAAAAATTTTAATTAGGTGCTAACAAATATCAGGAGATTCACAAAAGAATCTTTGTTTTCCAGCTTTGCTTGAAAAATTAGAAGATCTGCCAACACTGGGCTCCTGCATGTTCACCTGGCAACAATCAGCTGGACCAAGAAATCACTGAGCCATTTAAACACGCCCAGATCACCACATTCCAGCACCTTCAGTCCCTATGACCTGTGTCTGCCCTGTTTCACTCATTTTTGGTACCCAGTGGTCCCTGAAGGCATCTGAATTGGTGACCTTAGCATGAAAGATATGAGAAATGGTCATTAAATATGCCGCAATCAGGAATGAGGGGTGGTCCAGGAGAAGAAGGCCAGAGAGAGCCTTGATGTTCACACATCCTCTGCCTGCATTGTATACTAGGCATCAGCAATAGAGCAGGCCCTGTGTCAGATTCCTCTCTGGCCTCTCCCTGTGCCGAACTATCTTATAAGACAGATTTATTCTCAGTTATTAAACCCAAACCACGGCCACTCAGTACATATAGGGACTAGAGGGACACTTAAGAAGCTGATTCAGACCCTCCTTGTCCTGGTTATAATAGGTTAGGTGGTTGCTTTTAAGTTAATAGGGTCTTAGTTCCTCATTCATAAAAGTAATGGGTTCAGCTAGAATGATCATTAAGATCATTTTTAGTTGGCCTCTCTCCATCTATACCACCTTCACTTATCTAGAATCTACTCAGCCCTTGAGAGGTGTTCAAGTTCCACTGCCTCCACAAAAAAAGTCCTCAGACTTCTCCTTTCTTTGAATTTTTGAGCTTATCACTGACACCATCCAAGTTAGCATTTACTAATTCTTTAATTGCTTTGCTTTGAGTATGTTGGTTCGTTTGCAACATTCAAACAGAAAATTCCTTTAGAGACTATACAGTTTAATTTTTAAATCCTCCATAGCATGTTACATTTAGTTGGCATTTAATGTTTATTTGATAATTAAACTGAATAAAGATACAGAAAATATCTTGCTGACATGTCTAAGCTAAGAAAAAAAAAGATACAAAAAATATGCATAAAATGGCAATCTTCCCCCAAAGCAACTTTCATCAGCCCTCTCAAAACTAATTACCCTTATAAGCATCATAACTGAACCATGCGATTCAGGCAGGCATAATGTGTACAGCGCCTGTGTGACATCAATGAAGGCATTGCTAGATTACCATATTACTTTGCACTTGATCATTGCCTTCTTCCTTAGTTGAAAAGCTCGAAAGGGGAAAACTATAAACATTAACCCATTATAATATTATGTTACCCTTCTGGTTTTATTTAAAAATACAAAAGAAAAATAAAATAAAGATATTACCTCCTGAAATATTTGTTACCCACTGAAATAGGACATAAGAATTAAGAAAAAAAAATCAATTATCAGTAAGAAGCTGCAGGTCACACATTTGAAAACTACACTGAAAACCACCTTTGCTCCTCCCCCACCCTGTTGGATGTCATCAAAGTTCTGAGTAAGAGGAGGCCAAGTTAGGATGTCATGTGGGTGGGGATTTACCCACCTTCACCGGAAAAGCAGAGGGATACAGGTTTTACTTGTTCTGGTCAAGCCTCCCCTCCCCCTCCCCCCACAATAATTAAGGCTTTAGATATGTAGTCAGTCCTTCCCTATCAAAGTAAAACAAACAAGAGAAAAGAATAATTCAAGTACGGAATTCTTTTTGGACTATAGTTCACTTAGATATGAACTATTTGAGTAAGGTTTCTACTTTTGAAAGACTGAGAAAATTAATTAATAAAGCCGCTATTTCCTTCTAATAGTAAAATTCCTAATCCAATTTCAATGGTGATTGCCTTCATTTCCCTATTCAATGAATTTAAGATCATTAACACTCTGCATTAACACTAAAGTAAACTTAAATTAACAAGTGTTAATCATGTCTTAACAAACGAGCCAATTCTAGTGGATTAAAATTAAGTCAATTTACAACCTGCTCGCCTGTGATGCAACAACGCTTAATACAGGTGTCTCCATTTAATACATAAACCATGCAAAGAGAATTCGCCCCGTAATTCACATTATATACCTACAATGTTTGAGGGTCTGAATCAAAAGGGAGTGCAGCTGTAGGGAATGGATTTATTCAGGGGTAGGGGGTGGAATCGTGGTAAATCCCAGCCCTAAACCTATTTAAAAGGATGGGCAATGTCCCTGGGGAACGGAACAAGGTTTTACAAGCTGAGTGTAAAACAAGCATCTCAAAATTTAAGGGGAAAAAGTAAACTTTTTAAAAACTGCCTTTCGACGGTCACAAACCTTTGAATGGTTTGTTTCTATCTGGTGTTTCTGAGCATCCAGTTAATCTGCCCTCCGAGGGGAAGCCTATCCTTCAATCTATTGACACGTGGCCTGCAAAGAACTCTAGATTAGGCTGCCTCCTCTCGCCACAGCCCCACGCCCACAGTCGCTAGGAAGGGAACGCCGCAGGCCCGCGCTCACCCCTCAGCCCCTGTCTCCCCACTTAGCCTCCATAGCTCCTCTCCTAGCCCTAAAAGCTGGCTAGGTTTCCACACAGCCCTATTAAATAAAATGGACAGAACTCAAACGGAATCAGAGAATGAGAGGTGTCGATGTTGTGTTTTGTTTTTGCCTGGGCTACAGTGCCCTTGGCGTCAACCTAAATAACTCACAGCTACCTCAAACTCCTAGGCTCAGCCTCCCGAGTAGCGGGGACTACAGGCATGCGCCGCCATGCCCGGCTAATTTTTTTTTTTCCTAGATATTTTTAGTTGGCCAATTCCTTTCTATTTTTTGTAGAGCGGCGGGGGGGGGGGGTGTCTCACTCTTGCTCAAGGCTGGTTTCGAACTCCTGACCTTAAGCAATCCTCCCACCTCGGCGTCCCAGAGTGCGAGGATTATAGGCGTGAGCCACCGCGCCTGGCCTGAGGTTTCTTTTAATTCAGGTCAATGCCAGTTCTTCTTCTAGGGCCCTTGGAAAGGAGATACTCCTCAACCAGGGGACCAAACGGCACCAATACAGCAAACTCCAGAGGAAAGCGCTCCGAACGGAACTGGCCTTGGTGTGGGAGAGACCCTGAAGATCAATTCTCTATTACCCTGAGCCCACCGTACGAAAGGCATTTAAACTTTCGGCAGGGTTTTGTACTTAAGATGCTCCTCAAAGACTAACAACTCCTACAGCCTATGGTCGGCTGGCAAATTCCAAGTTTAGAGTGAAATGACGAAGAAGGGAGTCACCCAATCCCATTTGCTCAACATCAGAACTAAACGGAGTTTCGAGGCACTCTCCAGTGACTCCGCTTCCTGCATCTTCCCTCACACGCACACACCAAACTCCACAAGTTTCCTCAGCTGCCGGGGAACAAAGTCCTTACTTGGTCAGTCATACTCTCACACATTTGAGATGGGGACTTTCCCCTCCAAGAGCCCCCAGCACAGGAAGAGACTCCCGCGCTCTCCTAACTTTCCACTACTATCCCCTCCTAGGGGTCAGGCTGTGACACCAAGTTACCAGACCAAGTAAACTGGACACCAAACCCCAGGAGATCCCCAAGCCGGCCTGGCCAATCGGGGCCGGTGAGCCAAGACGACTAGACGTGACGTCAGAAACGATTAAGTTGGCGCGTCACCTGGACGTCAGCCTCTCACCTCTCGGACGTCCCGTCCCGGGAGCAAAACTCCTGCGAGTTTGGGCCCCGCCCAGTGAGAGGGGAGGGCGGCCAATGAGAGCGGTTCTGAAGGGAACGAGGCCAATGAGACGAGCCCGGGGCGGGGCGCGGGGCCGGAGGGTGGGGCGGGTGGCGGCGGCGGCAGTCCGAGGTCTGGCTGCGCGCAGTATATGACAGTACGTCAGCAGCGGGATGGCCGTAGCTGTGGCGGCGGCTGCAGAAGCCCGAGCAGCCGCGGCCGCAGTGGAGGCTAGAGCCCGAGCGGCGTCGGCGGCGGCACCCCGGGGAGTTTAAGATGGCGGCAGGGGGGGCAGCGGGCCTGCAGGAGGAGCAACGCTACGGACTGTCGTGCGGGCGGTTGGGGCAGGACAACATCACCGTACTGCATGTGAAGCTCACCGAGACGGCGATCCGGGCGCTCGAGACTTACCAGAGCCACAAGGTGAGCGGGCCAGCCGGCCGACTAGCCAGACTCGGGGAGGCAGAGGGCACTCCTCGTCGCCGGGCCGTGCCTCCCGGTGTCCGGGGACCCGGCGCGGGGCCAGCGGAGCCGTGGCTCGCCGCTGCTGCCGTCAGCGCCCGCGGCGGCTGGGCAGGGCCGGGCAGGGTCGCTGACGCCGCGGTCCCGGCCGGGCCGGGCGCCGGGCTGTGGAGAGGCGGGCGGGCGGGCGGCCCCTGGTGGCGGGGTCGAGGCAGCCGCAGCCCTGGCTTGGCTGCGCCGCCGCTGCGGGACTTTCCGACGGCGCCCGCGGATTTCCTGGCTGGTTCGGTCCCAAGGACTGAGAGAGGCCACGGGAAGAGAAGTGAGAGGACCACTCTGCCCTCGGGCTGAGGCGAGGGCGAGCGCGCAGTGTACCGGTAAAGAACTAGGGAGGACCCGCGGGCACAATGTGTCCGCGTTTTCCGAGTGACACATAGGTACCGTGGCCCCGCAGAGACGGGACACAGGTGCTCCGCGTATGGCGTGGGGCACACTGCGTACTCCCAGGGACTTGGGGACTCAGGCGACCCGCGTACGAGGACACGCGATACTCACAAGGATGGGGACTCACTCGCCTCGCGTATGGCGGGGCGGGGGGGACACAGGCACTCGGTGTATCGGGGGCGGCGCACACCGTGTACTGGCAAAGGCTGGAACACAGGCCCTTCGCGTTCAGGAGGAGGGGGACACTGCATTCCCTGGGACTCGAGGACACAGGCGCTTCGCTTTCCCAGAGACGCACAGCGTCCTGGGCAGACACAAACCAACACATCGTTCGGGAGAGAGACACCCGAGGACTCAACACTCTTAGCGCTCGCCCGGGAGCAAGACATCGGAAACTGGGGAACTCGGTTCGTGGACGCTCAGCATACCCGAAAGACGCACCGCGTCTCGCGCCCACTCGCACACACAGGGAAGGAGCCTGAAGGTGGGGGGAAGGACCCAGTGTATCCCGGACAGGGACCCCCCACCCCCACCCTGCATTCCAGAGGGAAACCTATAGACATACACACATCCGAACTACAGAGAAGCTCAAATAGACACACAGACACCGCAACTGGAGTGCAATCCGGGAACGCTTTCCCGTTGAAAAACGTGGGGGTGGGGGGAGCTAAGAAGAGACACGGCAACCAGGGTGCTCCGGGAAACCGTTTATGGACTGTGTGTGGAAGAGCGAGACGGGAGTGGACACATTACATGAGGGAGGGATATACCATATGGGGGAGCGGGTAACGTTTTACTCCAAGAGGAGAGAGCAAGTTAGAGGGAGATGTAACCCACAGGGCATCCTGACAAATAGCCCAGTCCATACCAAAGAACACCCTCATAAAATAGAGGGGCTCCCAGACACAGACTCACAGTTATTCAGATAAAAGTGGAGAAAAGAATTAACATCTGTTGAGCTCCCACTAGTGACAGGCACTTTAAATGCATAGAGGGAAGACACGGACCCAGGCAGAGCAGCAGGAGAGGTGTGAATCCTTGGTTCACTAGGAGTGTGTTCAGAGAGGCCCCCCACATAAGTGTGCACACTTGGGGTAGTATATGAGTTCACATGATAAGGTACATGTAAACAGCAGTAGAAACTCAGAGAGGTGATTATTATTATCAGGAGTGCACTCACAGAATTGGGTGGACACATGGGTGTACACACCAGGATGCATATGTTACCAACCAGGGAAACATATGGTGAAAAACACTCACAGACTTTGTGTGGTGGGGTAGGAGGGCATAAGGGAGGAGTGCGTGCACAGAGAGAAAAAGGTACCTTCCTACACAATGAAATCCCAGGGAGAAAGCCTCAAGTATGACTGGGAGGTCAGTATACACCCAGCAATAGGGATGTAGAGAGAGAGGAAAAATGCAAGACTGCATGTGCCAGCTACTCCCAGACAGGTGCACCTTCAGTGAAGAGACCAGCAGCAGCAAGGAGTGGGAGGCCCATATGGGGGAAGCCAGATATGCAGGCAGAGGGACAGGCAGATAGTGGAGAGAAACTCAGCCCTGCAAGATGAAGAGATAAGCTTGCCTGTTCCAAGGGAAGGACGTGGGAAGGAATGACAGTGGGGAGAAGGTAGGTCACGGGATGTGAAGAGAAAATACATAGAGGCCCAGAAGGAAAATTCAGCAAAAGGAAGCCAGCCCCCAGTCAGAAACAGACCCAGGGAGCAGAGAAAGACTGACACACAGTGGATGGGGAGAGGCATCTCTGGGGACAGCAGGTCAGCCAGCCACCTTGGGAAAACAACAGGCAAACTGTACAGATGATTACAGCGAGGTTGACAGGGTACAGGGTGGGCTGGGGTCAGGAGACCCACGTGGGGAAGGGAGACGGTAGTGTCCAGGGAAGGTTAAGTGACAGAGATGCCCCCAATGCCCACTGATCTACATGATCACTGGAGCTCAAAAAAGGGGTGCTGTTTGTTTGTTTTGTGTGGCCTTCATTTCTGCCTCCTACACTGTATCTAGTGTTTTCATGTTTGGGATTAAGGTTAGAGTGCTCTGACAGCCCCAACATTTATATACCCGTGTCTTCTAGGAGACAGAATATAAAAAATTCTTTCTCTCCCAACCCACCACTTAATACTTTCTAAATTTTTTTTTAATTTGACTTTTTTAGTTAAAGGTACCAAAGTCAATGTCTTTGTTTTCTCCAGATTGCTTCTATTGCCTGTTAAAACCATTACTGTCTTTTTCTATCACTGTGCATGCAAATTAATGGGTCTGGTCTATCTACACAGAGGCAGCAAAGGGAAGGGGGAAGACTTTTTTTAAATAGCTCTACCTTTCTAAGTGTAGAGCCAGGTACATTGTATTAGTCTTAGGATTTCTTGTCTCCTAAACTGGTGGTAGAGGGTTGGGAATAAGCTGACTTGGCCTTAACTAGCTCCTGTCCTCAGGTCTCACTGTCACTTCAGCCACAGAAACACTTTTTAAGGGGTTTAGAAAAGCAAGCAGGAATTGAGGTGAAACTGTCAACCTCAGTTGGATGAAAAGTAGAAAGGACTAAAAAAATAAGAGACTTTTCAGATATCTTTATATATTGTTGGTACTTACTACAGGATCCTCCTGAGTGTTCAGCTAAGGCTCCCACAGATGTGGCCTCAGTGCCCCTCCTTCTGTCTCAGCCACCCCAGGCCTCCCCCATGGGCACAGCAACAGTTGCCAGCAGTAGGAATCTGGCTGAGCTTTTATCCTCCAGTAGAAGAATAATTTATTCGGTCTTTTTCACCTTTCATCACTATCAGAAGTAGGGCTCATGACTTTATATTGTATTTGTTGTTTAGGAATATGTTAGCATATGTTGGCTAATTGGGAAGAAGTTTCTAGTGGTCAAGCCTCTTCTCTCTGAGGAAAAAAGTGGCTTTAATTTCTCACATAAAACTGCCTCCACTAATCCTGTGCTCATATAGAAGGGGCTTGATGACTATTACTCCTCTTCTAATGACTTTCTATGACCCAGATGTTTCAAAAGGCATTAATTGAGGCATCCTCTGATGCCTGAATTAAGCATCAGAGAATTCTTTTTTTGTCCAGATTATTTTGTCCATTGGATTTACTTTTCTAAATTAATCCACTTTACCTAAGGCTTCAAAGAAGTGAATTTAGGAATTGTAGGAAGCTATGATTTAGGCAGAATAGAGAAGTTCTTTAGATACAATTGAGCAAATATATTGAGCTATTAGGGTTCAAAGAAACAGAACTTTAATGAAAATTCTGAGATCTTGGTTTTTCAAATCATAATTCCTCACTGTTTCAAAAGACAAATAAACCTAATTGGCCATCATTATTCAGCCTTATTTTTAGAGAAGAGATCTGGGAAGCTTTCTAAATAGGCAGGGGAACAAGGTAAGTCTAGGAATGGGAATTATAGTTGGATTAAATACCTCTTAAAAGGTGTTTTCCGCTAACTTTGAATGCATAAACAATTTCAAATTGTTTATATATAAAGCATTAACTAGAAAGTTATTTTCATGATTTGCAGAAAAATTTAGATATGCTAATACAGATATCTAGGATATTAAGCTTTTCTAATATAGATTATTTCAAATAAGGGGACAAGTTACTAAGTAACATCACAAATTACAACTTTATAGTCATTCTAAATTGTTTTCTATAATTATCTGGTCTACATATGTTCTACATATTTTAAATGAGCATATATTATTGCAATTACATATTTCTTCCAAATGTAAAACTATATTTTAAATTCCAATATTTAAAAATATATTTTGGCTAATTTCTTCAGTAATATAGCCGGGTTTATTTTGACATTTGAGTAATTCATTTGTATATCAAAATTCTTACTAGAATATTTTCAAATTTTGTCATTGCTGAACCTGCCAATTTAGTTTTTTTCTTTTTATGGTTTTTTCTCCTCAGTTTTTTGTGCCAATTTAGTTTTTAAAAAATGTTTATTCAAAGTGTCAAAGGTGGTGGCTCAAATAATATTACCATGTTTACCCGACTGTTACATAAAAAGTCTTACATAGTTATGTTTGGGGCAGGGACTCATTTTCTGTCCTGAAGATCAGAAAGCAGATGCCTTTAAGTAGGATTCTGTTAACCACATTCTCTTGTCAGCTCTATTGGCTTGAAATAAATTTTCCTGCCTTGATTAATGTCTTCTAGGAAAATGATAGTGTTTTTAAAATTTGTACAAATACACTTCCATTTAATTTTACATGAAGAACTCAGTCTCTCTGTGTTAACAGGTATTATTTCCAATCAAAGCATAAGGTCTTATTTAAGCCTCCAAAGTTACTGTCCTTCATAGTAGCACTCATAAATATGAGATCATTTTTTTAAGCACTGATTCTACAGTTCATGGGGTAGCTGATTTCCTCACTTTAGCATTTCTACCAGGTGAACTTTTCAGTGTTTGATTCATTATGGTTTAAGACACAGGAAAGACTCATACCCTGCTTTTTTCTTATCTCTTCCTTTTTCTGCCTGCCCCC